TTCTGTGTTATTTATATATACATTTAACAGTTGTTTGTAGCTTTAGAGCAACACCAAAAGCTAACCATTTTTTTTTTTATTTATCCTTATTTACTCATAAAAGACAAAAAAAAGATGAAAAGTCTTGTTGGGTTTAAATCCAGCGAAATGTGAGTTTAAAAGATTAAGAGGACGAAATGATCAAACACAGACAGGGATTTGTAACGTCAACCTCTGCACAGGGGAGAGAAGCTGCAGGCTCCAACCAGCACCTTTTCTCTCAGATCCCTTCACAGCAAAGCCTTTTATTAACAGTCTACAACATAATAGGGCGGGTCTTAAACAGAAAACCCAGTAATGATTATCTGGCAGGATGCAGGTTATAAGACCATCTGGCTGGATGGAAGTCACACAACGGTGTGACTCTGCCTCATGACCTACTGGATGCAGGTCATAAAAGTTTATGACCCTCCTGATTGAATCACAGGACAGAAATTTAGCATAATTTTATAATTATAATTCTAACACCTATCATGAAAAAAGGTTCATTGTGCGACCTGAGTAACGTGCAGTAACGGGGTGTCAGCAAGAGTAACTGCCTTATAGTTACAGTCAAAGTAATTAGTTAGATTACTCGTTAATAAAAAAGGTAACAGAGTTAGTAACTTTCAACACAGTTACTCCCATCACTGCTTAACCTGTGTTTCTCCATCCAGAGTGTCAGTGATTTGGTGGTACCACTCCTTCCCCCCCCAGCCGCTGCAGTCTGCAGATCCACAGCGCTGTGCTTTACTTCTGTTATGTTTTTGTTATTAAACGTTTTGAACTTTCCCACCATCGTTCTCACCTTGAATACTCACTCCATCTGTCTCGTTCATGACATGTACAGCTTTTAACAAGAGTCAATGGGTAAACATTCTTGCGCCCTTGCATCACCAATCTGATGAAAAATTAAATGACACTTTACTCGTCATTAAAAAATATTTTTTTATTTTCCATGTCTTAATCAGGGTCATTGGGTATGTAGGGCGGTGCTCTAGCATTCTCTACTGGCCAGCCGCCACTGGTTACAGATGACCAAAACATTGTACTTAAATTTAGCACTACTTCATTTTTTTTAATAAGTAAAAGCAATTAGTAGCCATTGATGGAATCAGTCAAGTAAAAGCAAAAATTGAGTAAATGACATACTTACTACTTATGACCATAAGATGTGATTATATATTTAAAAAAAATGATACAGTTACAGTCAGGTCCATAAATATTGGGACATCAACACAATTCTAATCTTTTTGGCTCTATACACCACCACAATGGATTTGAAATGAAACAAAAAAGATGTGCTTTATCTGCAGACTTTCAGCTTTAATTTGAGGGTATTTACATCCAAATCTGATGAACAGTGTAGGAATTACAACAGTATGTATATGTGCCTGCCACTTTTTAAGGGACCAAAAGTAATG